GTCTGTAGCGTAATGCAGTGTTTCAACCGTCTGTAGCGTAATGCAGTGTTTCAACCGTCTGTAGCGTAATGCAGTGTTTCAACCGTCTGTAGCGTAATCCAGTGTTTCAACCGTCTGTAGCGTAATCCAGTGTTTCAACCGGTCTGTAGCGTAATCCAGTGTTTCAATCATTGTTGTTGTCCAAAAACCAAATGTATTCAATTCACAAAGATGGTCCCATTTGAGAAGCTGGAGGGGCTAATTGTTGTTTTTTTTTTTTTTTTTTTTTAGAATAATTCTAATTGTAGTAATTGGACTACAGTGTTTGCTGTTGCATTGTACTGATATTAGGACACTACATTGTAAATAAATAACCTGCAAAGGGACTACTCACCAAACTCTCTAGCTATGACTCACTTGCACTGTCCCGGGTTAATGCATGAATAAAAATAGAACCTTATTATTATTTAAGGGGGCTAATAATCCTCCCATGATGCAGTCAGTGAATGCTTTCTGAGCCAGCTGTTACAGCAGCACAACGATGGAGAGAAGTACAGCTTAATAGGTTTAATAGTAAAACAAATAATAAAGGTGTTTATACAATAATAATATAAACTATACAGGAGTAGATGGAACCAAAGGCGTGGTTAACAGAGTCTAGTATGTCAACAGTTAAGTCCACTAAAAGTGTGAACTATTCTGGTTCCGGGGGATTTTGCTCTGCATTTTAATTTAGATAATGAATGTCTGATCGTATTGTTTTACACTCTGAAATGCACGTTTGTTTGTGCGTCGGTTGAAAGTCTTCGGCTCTAAACACGTTTGTACTCGTGTGCTTCGTGTTGCAGGAGCTTGCAAAGTTTGAAGAGATGGAGGACCAGGTGATCCTGACTGAAAAAGGTGAGCTCGTCTTTATCCACTGATGCACATTAAATGTTATTATTCTTGTGCTTCAACTTTTGATGTCCTTGCAGAACTCCTCGAGGATGGATTTGGTGACACCCCGTTTTACCATTGCTTTGTAGCTGAAATCCAAGGAGAGAACAGCAGTGACGGTAAGAGGCCACGCCTCCTTTTTCAGGAGCAAAACAAACACCCGGGTGTCTCCTCAAACAGGCTCGCCTGCTTCAAACACGTTGTTTACGAGTTACAGCTGTCAGACACTTGTTAAAGTTAAAGAGTGTCGGGTGTTGTCTTCTGACTGAAACTTGAGTTATTTAAATGATCTCATTTCCCAGAATAACATTTTCTAAGTTTGAGTTCATGACGCGTCTCTTCCGTCCTCTGGACAGACGTTGACCTCTGACCTTCACAGCAGCAGCTTCCTGTTCACCGTCGCTGGATCTCATTACAGCTGTTGGTTTAAGAAGCTGCAGCTGTTCTGATCCAACGCTCGCATCGTGTTTCATTTAGTAACGTGGCACAGCGGCATCAGAAGATCATTTAAGGAACAGTTCAAAGTCAGCTGATCGTTTGTTTACTTCTCAGCTCACCGTGTTAAAGCTAGCGTTGCTAATGTAGATGAGTACGCTAGATTTAATGAAAACATCAGCCCAGTGTCTTCTCCAATGAAAGTAGTCTCACGAGCTACGAAGGTCTCCCAGTGGTCAACACCGACGGCTCCTCCCTCCAGAGACACGCCCCCAAAATGATCATCATGAACGTAAACTACAAACATGGCTGCTGTTAGAACTCACAGCAGCTGGAGGAAGACGAACAATGAGTGGGCAGACAGACGGCATATAATACTGACACTTTCACACGCGTCTAATAGATGAAATGGATTTGACAGAATGCATGAGATTGTGCCGCCGTAGTTGAACTGTGAACCCCTGATTGAGGTAAAATACTCGGTGAACACAGGAAGCTTTATTGTGTGTACAATACTTAACTATCAAGTATAATAATGAATACTAATATCTAGAAATGTACACAGGATACTGAAGCGTTTGTCTGTGCAGATCCGAAGGTGGTTGGTTTCGTCATGTACTACTTCACTTATGACCCGTGGGTTGGCAAACAGCTCTACCTGGAGGATTTCTACGTGATGGAGGAGTACAGAGGTAAACAACAACAACAATAACAACAACACGTCCTCGTCCTGCGTCTCTTCATTCAGCAGCTCTCTCTGTGTTCTCTCTCTGCAGGGCTGGGCATCGGTTCGGAGCTCCTGCGTCACCTCAGTGATGTGAGTAAATGATCACATATAAGATGGAACCTTCATCGGTCTGATTCCACATTTGATCAAACCTGAAGACTAACACTCGGGGAGTTATTGTGTCTTTCACTTTGCTGTTGGTGCTCAGAAACTCATCCGAGTGACTTAATGAGCAGATAAAGTGTTTGATGAAAGCTGTAAATCATCGACTCTGTGACGGAAGCTTAACATGTGATCAAAAAAACCAGTGAAGTGAGAAACGTTCGACTTTATTTTAGAGAACTTGTGTTTGTGGAGTTCGTGTTCTAAACAGAACTTTAAAACGAATTAAAGTTACAAAGCTGTAGTTATCTACAAGCCAATAACTGAGTTTTATGGGAATTTATTATGTATTTATTATCATTATATATAAATATTCTGTAAATGTACATATGAATTAATTTAATGTGACCAAAGAAATTAATTAACAAAAAAGAGAATCGACTGGTAGGAATAAAAATAAATGGTAAAAATAAGTTAATAAATGGGTCGTAGTAAAACCTATAAAAAAATATATATATGTATATATTAAAAAAAAAACAAGTGAGTGTTAGAAACGTGTAAAATATCTTATAAATCAGTGGAAAGTAAAACAAAAACCTCTAAAATGTTACAAATAAGTTAAACAGTTTTCCATCGTACAGAACTGCTCTCTATCTCAGGTTGAAATGTTCCATGTAGCATTAATGTGTCGGGTCTTTGAAGCATAGTTAAAATGTCTGCAGTGGATCTTTAAGATGCTCAAACACTCGTCTCTCCTCCAGCTGGCGATGAAGACGCGCTGCACCGGCATGATGTTCGTGGTGGCGGAGAACAACGAGCCGTCGGTGCAGTACTACAAGCGGCGCGGCGCCGAGGACCTCTCTCAGGAGGAGGGCTGGAGGCTCTTCAGGTTCGACAAGGACAGCCTGGTGAAGCTAGGCACTCCGGCCGAGGAGTGAGGGAGCAAGAGGATGAGGAGACGCGAGAGCCCGAGGCGGAGAGCCCGGCTGCTTTTTCTGACGAGTCATGTTATTGAGTCCGATGTTGCCGCCGTGTTGGCAGCTTAGCAGCCGGCTCTGACGGGTCGGTCGGCCTCTCTGAGTCTTCTTCTCCCGTCGGACGACGGGTTGATTCGTAGTTCAGCTTTTTAAAAAAGGGAAATTGTGTCGCAGTGATGCGTTTTTTTTAATGTTTGTAGTTTGTCGCTAATCTCTCTGAATCATTTGTTATTTTAACCAGTTAATTATTTTAGTTGATGTGCAGGAAGAGTTCATATGATTTGAAGTTTGCAATAAAACAATAACTTCTCACACATCATCATGGTCTCATCCTCTCTAACATAGTGTCCCTCAGGGGCCACCGTACAAACGATAAACTTCCTTTTCTATGTCATTACAACCTCTGCAGTCATTTAAAACATGTTTACGCTCAACAGGACGCCAGATGTTGGTGCAGGACTTTAGATATGTAAATGTGCAGAAAGTGACTTGAATTCAGGGTTTTGACTCCTCAAAGCCAGACCTTCATGGTTCCGGTCTCTTTAAAGAGTTGTTTGGATGCAGCAGGTGTAAGTGTTTCTATCAGCTGATCTTCAGTCTCTGTTCTTGATGAACACCAGATGTCTTCTCCTGATTGAACAAGTCTAAACCTGTTTTAAGATCATTTACCCAAAACATTCAAATGTGTCACTGCCGGCTGTGTTTCCTGAGGAAGAAAGATGACGTAACACCGAGCTGCTGTGTGAAATTACAGTATTGGCTCCACCATCCATCCTCAGCCCGTCTTTATATGTGAGATATATTCTATATATACATTTACCCAAAGCTTAACATTAAAACGTCATTCTGGTTCCAGAAGCTCGAACATAAAACAGAAGTATAATAAACGGTGTTTGTACTGAACGTACTTTAAACCTAAATAACCTCGATACTTTTTTTTTTTTTTGCTGCTTTGACATTTTAGACATTTGGTAAAAACCAGGACGTGTTCAGAGCTCTGAAGATTTGAGGAACTGAGGAAGGCGGCGTGTTTCTCTGCTTCCTCTGAGGCTCAGTCTGACGTAAACACTTTGTTCCATTTAAACAGCTGATTGAGCTTCTTACACGTATAAACACGATACACTGACGCAATACTGTGATTCACGTTAACTTGTACAAATACTTTGTTTTACAACACGAGCTGTTTATATAAATCCGACTTTAAAGTTCATCACTTCTTGAAATACGTTACTTTCATTATTTTGCTTTCTTACTAAATTATTGACGTGTTACTGAACTATTTATTCACCTATTTATTTATTTCTCCTCTCCCTCAGACATAACTGCACATTCATCTAATCACATTTATTCATATTAAATAAATAGATAAATCTTTCCCACATTGAAATCATATCTGATTCCTACGTCTTCTGTTAATGTTTGTTTATTTTATTACACCATCACACTGACAAAATAAATAAATGAAGAAAAAGATTTAATTACATCGCGTTAAAATAAAACCTCATATGTATATATACACAGTATTCGACAAAAACACTGAGCTCGCTAACACACATTAATATTTAACCCGTTTCTGGATACTTGCAGTAATATTTGCAGTAAACTGAGGAAATAACAAGAGTTGACAGAAATGATTATTGTATATGATGACCTCATTGTTTCATTGATTGATTCATATATTTCATCGTCACTGCATCCCACAATAAATGAGTTCAGACTTTTCTTTCTGGAGCAAATTTTACACCAAAGGTCTGCACATGAACTCATTTACATATATGCAAATAGCACAGACACTGTTTGTTTGGCAGCACAGTTAAAAGTGCACTTTTCGGATTGTTGCCATTTATTAAATCATTTCTTACACGTTGTGTTTTATTCTATTTCAGACCTTAAATGACATAATTTTTTAATTGTCTTTTTTGAAAAGGCTTTAAACTATTCACTCTCATATCTTTACAGTAAATATGAAGCAACAGCCAGTTAGCTTAGCATAAATAATGGAAAACAGCTAGCCTGTCTTTGTTCAGAGGTGAAGAAAGTCCACCTTCAGAGCTCAATGATTAACATCTCCGGTGTGTCCGAGCCCACACAAGACGTAACGCGTTCATCTGTGAAGGTGCTGGAGAGCCAGGCTAGCCGTTTCCCCCCGTTTACAGTCTTTGTGCTAAGCTAAGCTAAGCAGGCGCCGGCTCCAGCTTCATATTTACCGTCCAGAGTGAGTGAGGTCGAGCTTCTCGTCCTCAGTAAAGAAATAAATAAGTGTATTTCACACAAACACTGAAGTGTCTCCGAAGCTTTGTCATCGTTACGTAAATACTCAGAGTACCGTGTAGTTCACCATCCTCTACATTTGTATCTACAGACTAAGAACATATGTATTTATGAGTAGAGATATGAACTGATGGACTTTTAAACCACTGCTCACACTCCCTTTAAAGCTGACACTTATATTGTTTTCTATTATTCATTGATTCATGGTTTGACCCATAAAAGCTCAGACAATAAGGAACAAAGGTGACATCCTGCTGCTGCTTTAAACAGCTCAACACACAAATAGATTCAGTTCAATATGAGAAGAGAAGAGGAGGAGGAGTCAATGCTCACATTTGTGAAGCTGGAACCATCAAAATGACTGAATTTATTAACAAACATGGCTGATTAGTGAGTTTAGTGAGGAGTCTGTGAAGTCGAGCAGCTTCAACAGACAGAAGAATGAGGAAGTGTCGCTGGCAGAAATCACTAATGTCTGGAGAGCAAACACTTCAGAAACTCAGTGAAGTGGAGACATACAGGTGTGTGTGTGTGTGTGTGTGTGTGTGTGTCTTCTTGCGTCTCAGCTGTCGGTCGTGTCGTTGCTCTCTGTTCGCTCTTTCTTCTCCAAAATACAAAAACAAAAAGACAAAAGTCAGAATATCCTCAGAAAGAAACCGTTTAAAGGGACAGTCGTGATGTTTAGAAGTGTGGTAGTATGAGGTACTTCTACTTAGTGGAGTACTACAGTGTATTACTACAGTAGATGGAGTACCAGCACAGGAGCAAAGTAATGTACTTTTACAATGTAATGTAGGTTAGGAATACCAGATCATAGACTGGGAACTCAGGAATCCTGGCTTCCCAGTTCAACTTGAACGCGTCAGAATACACCGACTATGAACAAGTACATTGAACATCACAAGTCTCCCTTTAACGTGAACATATACGGTGACTGAGAAGCTCAAAATATCTGCGTGAGACTCACCTTCTTTGTGCCAAACGGACGCTCTTTCCACAGCGTCTGCAGGGAGTCACGGCCCTGCTGAGCCCAGCTGTAGGTCACATCCCGACTCCCCTAGTGGACACACGAGGAACAACGTTACTCACTCACTCACTCACTCACTCACTCACACACTCACACACTCACACACTCACACACACACACACACACACACTTAATTCGGTGTCTGGCAGGTGTTTAACCGTCTGAACCTCAAAACCCACCGAGCAGGATGAAGAAGCATGTTTTCTTTAAACAATCCCCAAAACTAAATAGTTTATCACAGCAAGAAGCTGTAAAAACGGACATCATCGGCAAGAAGAGGAGAG